GTATATGGCCTTTATTATGTTGAGGTGGGTTCCCTCTATGCCCACTTTCTGGAGAGTTTTAATTTTTTTAAACAATTCTTTTTTAAAAATATATTTATTTATTATTTACCTATTTTGTCTGTGCTGGGTCTTAGTTGCAGCACGTGGGATCTTCACTGTGGCATGCATGTGGGATCTAGTTCCCTGACCAGGGATTGAACCCAGGCCCCCTGCATTAGGAGCATGGAATCTTATCCACTGAACCACCAGGGAAGTCCCCCATGGTCTGGTTTTGCTGACTGCATACTCTTAGAGTGATTCAACCTGTTTTTCTTCCCTCTTTACTGGCTGCAATTGGGCAGCTGGATCCAGAAACTGGATCATCAGCTTGAGGTCCTTGGCCAGACAACAAGAGAGTTCCCACTGTAAGGTCTGGGCTACAGAGAAAAGCAATCACAGAGCTCTTCAAGGATGCCAGGGCTCCCTTCACAAGTTTATTTCTCAGAGTTGTGGTGAAATGTATGTCTTCTGTACACACAAAATTAACCACCACATTACTTTAAGTGACCCTTCCCTGAATTCAACGGTTGAGCACAGAATAACAAAACAGATTTATAAACATTAATCTGTTGGAAGAGATGATGTAATATATTTCATAGACTCCCTTTAACTTGAAAAATATTTCAATTCCTTAGGTACCAGGAATACAGAATAATAGTGTCAGACCTACACTACATATCAAGAGCCATCACCCTCCATTGCTTCCACAATGACTATCTTGTAATTATTTAGTCTCGATTATTTATGTAGTGGTTGAGTATTTCCCCTATCTGTCCCAAGGTCACAAAACTACAAGACTTTAAGTCATTTGATATATGAATTTTTGCATGAAAATGTATTTTTTTCCAATGTTAGCTGTTAGTGCTGTATCTCTGTGATTCTACTTCAATTAAACATTAAATATATATACATATAATTTTTTATAAATTTATTTTTTAATTTATTTTTGGCTGCGTTGGGTCTTTGTTGCTGCGTGCAGGCTTTCTCTAGTTGTGGCAAGTGAGGGTTACTCTTCTCAGTGTGCAGGCTTCTCATTGCGGTGGCTTCTCTTGTTGTGGAACATGGGTTCTAGGCGTGTGGGCTTCAGTAGTTGTGGCACGCGGGCTCAGTAGTTGTAGCTTGCGGGCTCTAGAGCGCAGGCTCAGTAGTTGTGGCACACAGGCTTAGTTGCTCCGTGGCATGTGGGATCTTCCCGGACCAGGGCTTGAACCCGTGTCCCCTGCATTGGCAGGCGGATTCTTACCCACTGTGCCATCAGGGAAGCCCATACATATAATGTAATATACATACTTTATAGGGCAGGTATCTTTTCCTCTTTCTCTATCTTATTTATTTTTTGGCTGCGCCATGCAGCATGCAGGATCTTACTTCGCTGACCAGGGATCAAACCCAGGCTCTGGCAGTGAAAGCACCAAGTCCTAACCACTGGACCACCAGGGAATTCCTGAAAATTTTTTCTTTTTTAATAAAAGACCTTTTTTTGTGCTCATTTCAGCAGCACATATACTAAAATTGGAACGCTACAGAGAAGATTAGCATGGCCCCTGTGCAAGGATGACCCACAAATTTGCGAAGCATTCCACATTTTTTAACTAATAAGGACCTACTGTATAGCACAGGGGGCTCTACTGAATATTCTGTAATGGCCTATATGGGAAAAGAATATGAAAAGGAGTGGATATATGTGTATGTATAACTGATTCACTTTGCTGTACACCTGAAACTAACACAACATTGTAAATCCACTATACTCCAATAAAAAAATAAAATAAAATAAAATAAAAGGTCCTTTTACTTTCTAAAATGTCTTTATTTTATTTTGCTACTGAGTTAATGTATCTAAAAGAAAGATTTCCCAACCATTGTTTGGGCTGCTCTGGGCACCTGAAACGGAATCTCTCTTCCTGTTATTAAGTTCATCTCCCTTTCATTATTGAAAGTTGAATTCAAAATATACGTCTCAGCGATTACATTCTCTCTTTCATATGCTGGTGTTTCTCATTACATTCTCATTACATTCTTGAAACTCTCTCCTCTCCTGCTTCCAAAATATTATACTGTTCTCATCCCTTTTCCTGCTTCTCTGACCCCTCTTTTTCTTTTGCCAACTAGTTTATCTTTCTAAATATGGCCATTCTCCAACGTTTGGTACCCTGAATATTCCCTCTCTATAAACTCTCCCTCACTTATTCTCTCTCAGTATCAGACATTATCTCCGTGCTAACAGCTATCAAATCGCTCTCTTCAATTCTATTCTCTCACCAAAGCTCTGGCTACACGACTTCAGCATTTACTGGATATTTCTAAAGGAACGCTCACTATAACAACACACACAATAATTCAAAAACAACTTTCACTGTTCTGCCCAAATGGAGACGGCCTTTCAATTTCTATTCCATTCAATGGCATGAATGAATATCACAATCTTCCCAGCTAGAAAGATTAGATCCCTGTGGCTCATCTCCTTTGTATCAGAATAAACTAATGGGATGTAGTGTGGTTCTGGATCAGACAGACTTAAATCTAAACCCAGGACTGCCATCACTTATTGTGTGATCTTGGATTAGTTACTTACTCTCTGAGCCTAGATCTTCATCTGTAAAATGGGATTAACAATACCCAGGGTTGTGAAGATCAAACGACACATACTGCACGCAGGACATAGTGGGCAAGCAATAGATCCTCTTGTCAGTTACAAATTTTGCTCATTCTTCATCTGAAGTTCTCTCATATGTGTCCCTACTCCCAGTTCTAACTCTTAGTCATACCTGGATTACTCTAATAACCTCTCTGCCATCTGCGTTAAATCTAGCCTCTTCAGTCCATCTTTCACACTGCTGTCAAAATAATTTTCTAAAAACAAACTTATGGTTGCCAAAGGGGAAAGGAGAGTGGGGGGAGGGATAAATTAGGAGGTTGGGATTAACATATACACACTACTATATAGAAAATAGATAACCAACAAGGACCTACTGTATAGCATAGGGAACTATGCTCAATATTCTGTAATAACCTATAAGGGAAAAGAATCTGAAAAGGAATATATATATATACATATACACACATAACTGAATCACTGTGCTGTACACCTGAAACTAACACCATATTGTAAATCATCTATACTTCAATAAAAAAAGAAAAAAAGAATCTTCTTAAAATATATATTGATCAAATCATATTCTTATTAGCAAAATCTTCAACAGCTCCCTAACAATCAAGGCCTGTTCCGCTTTAACGTCTGCTCAAAGTCTACTCTTTTGAACCTATTTCCTCTCACGTCTCATCACAAATATCCTCTGGTTTAATTGGCTTCCTCACTTCTACACACACATCAAGATCTTTCCCACCACCATGCTGTTGCTCAAATTGGTCCTTCCATCTGCTCTCGTTGGTCTTCCCTTTGAAACCATGCACCTCAGATGTGCTGGGACTCGAACCCAGCCTAAACCCTGATTGGGACTTGAACCCACATGGCTAGGACTCAAACCTGGCCAAAACCCACAGTCTTCCAACTGAGATCACACACCTGGTTTTAGGACTTAATGAAGCTCAGGTTCTTGATGTCTCATCACAGACAGAATTCAGTGAGAGGCAAAGTGATAGTAAGAAGTAGATTTATTTAGAGAGATACACACTCCACAGATATAGTGTGGGCCATCTCAGGAGGTGAGAGCAGCACCAGGGTATGGGGTTGTCAGTTTTTAAGGGGTGGGTAACTTCATAGGCTAATGAGTGGGAGGAGTATTCCAGCTATTTTGGGAAGGGGGTGGGGATTTCCGGGAATTGGGCCACCGCCCAATTTTTCATCCTTATGGTTGGCCTTGGCACTGTCATGGCGCCAGTCAGTGTGTCATTTAGCTTGCTGATGTATTACAATGAGCATATACTGAGGCTCAAGGTCTAGTGGAAGTTGACTTGTCCACCATCTTGGACCCATTTGGTTCTCATCTGTTTATGTCATGTCCTCGGGCTATGTCATTCTTTCGAAGGTTGTGCCCTGCCCCCTTCCCTCCTGTTTCATCTTTCCTAACCACTGGCTGTATTTCAAATCCATATGACGCACAACCTTACTTATGCTCTATACTTGTTTTCATTTCCCTCGATTGTTTAACTTACATGAATCATCTTTCCCCACTTTGATAATTTGTGGGTTATTATTCATCGGCCCTCTGTCTACTACAGTGTATCTTTGTGTAACCAAGCAGACAAAAACTTCCAGGTGGATTAAGAGAATTGAACAAAAAAGAATTACTATCAGATGTTCTGATTTAACATACTTGAGTATTTAAAAGTTTAAAGACTCACATTGGTTCTTATTGTTTATGTTGTCTAAGTTTTTATCAGCCCAACTAGGGTGGGAGCTTCTTGAAAATAAAGACAAATGACTAACTTCTTCTGCATTCCCATAAACCTCCAACACATCATTAGTACTTCAGAGTAAAAACCTTAATACATCTTGGCTTTGAACAACAGAGCAATGATTTTTCAGGCAAGGCATATATCAACCCTCCACAGGGAAAGTTTCTCTAATTCAGATATTCCTTCCTAGGAGGATACTTCCTTCCCTCCCACTCTCTTCTCCCATAGTAAGAATTCTACTATAGTAAGCCACTGTGATTGATGAGCCCATGTCACAGTATTTAGTAGATATAGGTCAAATGTTTTAAAAAATGGGACAACATGGTTCTAATCAATATCAGAAGAAAAACAACTTCCAGCATCATCTATGGACAAATCCTCAAACACACCTACCATAATCAGCTGGTGTATAATTCAGAAGTTCAAATTTCCAGTGTTTGTAGCTTGAATAATTCTGATACATATCAAATATTTCCCGGGTAAATTGTTGGCAGATATCACCTAAGAGAAAATATAAAAATATTCAGTCAGCACACATTTCTCCAAAGAAGACACATAGATGGCCAGTAGGCACACGAAAAGATGCCCAACATTGCTAATTATTAGAGAAATGCAAATCAAAACTACCATGAGGTATCACCTCACACTGCTCAGAATGGCCATCATCAAAAAGTCTACAAACAATAAATGCTGGAGAGGGTGTGGAGAAAAGGGAACCCTCCTGCACTGTTGGTGGGAATGTAAATTGGTGCAGCCACTCTGGAAAACAGTATGGAGGTTCCTTCAAAAACTAAAAATAGAGTTGCCATATGACCCAGCAATCCCATTCTTGGGCATATATCTGAAGCAAACTCTAATAAGAAAAGATACATGCACCCCAATGTTCATAGCAGCACTATTTACAATAGCCAAAACATGGAAGCAACCTAAATGTCCATCAACAGAGGAATGGATAAAGGTGTGGTACGTATATACAATGGAATACCACTCAGTCATAAAAAAGAATGAAATAATGGCATTTGCAGCAACATGGATGGACCTAGAGATTATCATACTAAGTGAAGTAAGTCAGACAGAGAAAGACAAACATCATATGATATCACTTGCATGTGGAATCTAAAATATGACACAAATGAACTTATTTACAAAACAGAAACAGACTCACACACATAGAAATCAAACTTATGGTTACCAAAGGGAATAGGGGGTGGGGAGGGATAAATTAGGAGTTTGGGATTAGCAGATACAAACTACTACATATGAAATAGACAAACAACAAGGTCCTACTGTATAGCACAGTAGGATAGAAAATATTCAATATCCTGTAATAAACCAAAATAAAAAGAATATGAAAAAAATATTCATTTATAACTGAATCACTCTGCTGTACACCAGAAACTAACACAGCATTGTAAATCAACTATACTTCAATAAAAAATTTTTCAAAAATCAGCACAAATTTCTTAGAGAGTCCTCCTTAAGTAAAAACCCCTTAGGAGTTGAGAAATGACTACTTCCGAAGTGAAACACATTTAACAGACTTTTAAAGTTACAGTGTGTCATATCAAGGTAACATTTAAGTATTTTTTAAGATCATTTACGATAAAATTATTTTATTGACCTCCAGTAGTTCTTCCAGATGTCACCTCTAAAATAACATCATTTTTGTCATATTTCTCCTTTGGCACTAGACTCTGGAGAAGCTGAAAAAAAAAATCAGTATTAGTGTGTATATTTTCCATGGTATACTGCTATTCCTTGAATTTAGAGAAAAGATCCCCAAACACTAAAAAATCAGTAATTAACAAAATCATAGAGCATCTCAAAGAGGTCTGGTCCTAAAATGCTTTAATAAGTAGACCTAATTAGGCCTAAAATAAACGATGATTCATGTTAACAATGAAGTTACTTGTTGGCATATTTTCTACAATGCTGTCAAATTATCTTAATTTTCTAAAATGCAAAAGTTTAGATCAAAGTCCAGTGTTCCATTCAATTTTCTTCGAATTTTGCTTCTGATTAGTCTTAAACAGTAGCTTCTTTCATCTAATGAAAGAAGTAAGCTCTGAAAGTCTTCATTTGGAGAAAATGAGGACTTTTAACGTATGATTATATATTCTCTCCCACAGTAAATGACAGTGGACGGACACCAGGCCGTGCCCTGTCTTCTCAGCAGAGTTGCTGTTTAAAGAGTAGATTGAGGATTCCCAAGGTAAGGCTCAAATAGTTTCTCAGTGTGACAAGAAAAAAAGGGGCTTTCTAATAAAGAAAGCAACCAACTTACCTCTTAGGAAGAAAAGGGAAGCAACTTTATTATTACTAAAAGGTCTTTCAAATCAAACTGAAAGTATCTATGTGTCATGATTCCCCCTACTGACAATTTTTGAAATAGTCCATCTCTGCTAGAAATGATATAGCCTGCAGGAGAGAATAGTAGACTAAGAGTCAGACGTCCTACATCTGCTTTTGACTAGCTGTTTAAATCAGTGAAAACAATAACTGATACCTCCATCCTCATCCTCAAAAAGTCCCTCTAGAGATTATCATACTAAGTGAAGCAAGCCAGACAGAGAAAGACAAATATCATATGATACTGCTTGTATGTGAAATCTAAAAAAAAAAGATACAAATGAACTTATTTACAAAACAGAAATAGACTCACAGACATAGAAAACAAACATATGGTTACCAAAGGGAAAAGGGGTTTGGGATTAACATACATCCACTACCATATATAAAATATATAACCAACAAGGACCTACTGTATAGCACAGGGAATTATACTGAATATTCTGTAACAACCTATAAGGGAAAAGAATCTGACAAAGAAGATATATGTATATCTGAATCACTGTGCTGTACACCTGAAACTAACATAGCATTGTAAATCAACTATACTTCAAGGAAAAAAACGTCTCTCTACTGGATTTCCAGGGTAGGGAAGACTGAAGGTAGGAGGATGGCAAATATGACAAAGGGGAACATAGTACATAGCACCGTATTTTCATTTTCTTGTAGACAAACCATCCATTGAGCTAGAAGGGACTAAAGACTTGTATTAACCCACTGTCTCTATGCCCTTGGATTCATTCCATTCTATCCTGAATGCAAATTTTCAATCCTTAGTTAACCCAGTTACCATGTACCACTCCCTCTTTCTAAGACTTAAAGCCCCCTGACTCTACTCCATGTTGAAGTAAATTTCTTCACTAGCATGTGTTCCCTTGTCTGGTAACTTAATAGATTCAGCTTTGGAATACTTCTGTCTGGGGGGGGGGCGGTGGTTTCGTTCCTTGCCAACACAATCTCTTCAATCTCATTCTGTAGTAAATGACAGCACTAAACCCAATATTACCAATCATCATAAGAGAAGACTTAATCAACTGGTGTTTGGAAAATACTTTGAGCAGCAAAACGTAGTCTAGCAAGAATAGTATTCCTTTACATTAACATTGCTGAGATTAGTTTACCTCTTAAAACATACCTCACTGTATAACATGTTGATTTTCTGAAGAATGGTTTGCCTCTCTTCCAAAGCAAGTTCTTGTAACTGCTTTTCATCTTGTTTATTTAGACCTACAAACCAACGACAGAAATAATGGTAAAAATGTTTAAATACTTACAAAGAAATTCTTAAATAGCTATCTAATCTCTACCTACTAGGTTTTATTTCAGTAGTGAAGGCAAGGGATTATACAAAAGAACAGAATAGTTAGAGAATGTAAAGTAAGTATTTGCTAAGTATGTCCAAAAAACTCAGTGTGAAAACAAGTACGATCTTGCCCCAAGGAGCTGGTGATTTGAATGTCTGTAAGTAATTATAGAAATCAGTGATAAATCAAACAGGTTTAAAAAGGGACTGGCTAATTAAACGTAAACCCGAATAAGCTAAGTCTCAGGGTAAACTGGGGTGACCATTTCTTGTCTAAAGCTGGCAGCCGTTACCCAGCACGCTGTGAGTAATGTAGCATGGCTAGAACCTCCTTTTTTTTTTTCAAGAGAAGTCAGAAATAAGACCTCTTTAAAATTCTGAAACCTCTTGAAATGTTCATACTTAGTAAACATTTTTTAAAAACACCACATGGGTCAAAAAACCACACATCCTTGCAAGCCTCTGCTTTATGGAAAGGACGGTCATTTTCACATCATTTCAAAGCAGAAAGTTAAATCATGGAGCTCTAATAACACAAGCTATCAATGAGGTAGTGGCCAAGTAGGGTGGATCCCATAACCTTTGACTCCATTGCTTTAGATGCCCAGAGATTCCATTTGTCACTGGTGATGTGTGCTAGATGAGGTAGAAATTTTTAATTCTTAAAAATAAAGAAGAAAATAGAAATGAAGACATAAAGGAGAGAAGGCTCTTTAAAATTCTTTTCTAGTCCTGTAAGTCATGGGGGTCTGATGGGATTCTATGCCTCATTCCTGCTTTCAACATTTCACACTTACTCTGTGCTAAATACTCTGCCAGTTGCTGGGGACACAAGGATGAATAAAACGTGGTTCAGGGCTAAAGTGGCTCAGTCTGGTGGGAAAGGTGGACACATTCACTTGATTACGATATGTGGTGTGGGCAGCGCCATCGAGGCCTAAAGGGTGGTCTAACCCAGACTTCAACCCTTAAGGAAGGTTCCTAGATAAGGTGCCATCTGAACTCAATTCTAATTAAGGATCACCTGTTGCAGAATTGTAATATCGCTACTGGCCTCACCTTGTGCACATAAGTCTCGGGTCAGAGGTACCAGAAAAACCTGCTGATCTGCAATCATATAAAATTATTTTTGTGGCTTTTTATTATTTACTGAACTGTAAGATCCAATCTAGTTCAATTTCACTGTATCAACAGATTCAAGAGTCTATTATACCTTATGTTTGGTGCTGCAGGAAATAAAGATGAATAAGACACAGGCCCTGTACTTGAGGAACAGGGAAAGGGACTGAAGTTAAGACAATTACATAATGGATCAGAATATAAAACAGAGAAAGGCAATCATACTTGTTTTACAGAGGGGAGTGAAGCCAAAGGATGATATTCAAGCCATACTTTGTAAGCAGACTGAACTTTAAGAAGGTGAAATTGGTGGGTTAACAACATGAGCAAAGACATAGACATGGGATGGTCTGAGTATATTCAGGGAATGGCAGATTGTCTGTTTTGGTTGGAAGGGAGAATACTCAAAGGGAATTAATATACTACACAGAGAGGTGGGGGTCACTCGGCAGAGACTATTAAATGCCAAGCCAAGCAATCTATATTTATAGGCAATGGGAGTTACTGGAAATTCAGAGCAGGAGAGAAATATGATTAAGGTTGTACTTAGGCTGGGAAAGCTTGGAGGTGAGACTACAAGTTAGGAATTTATTGTAATCATCTAGGACTGAGATATAATGAAAATATAAACTAGTGGAAAGAATAGAAGAGGACTCATGCAAGATACATTACAGAGGTAGACCCTATTGGACTTTGAATCATTGTGCAGTGGGTAAGAGCAGAGGCTGTGGAGTCTCCTTGATTGGGTTCAAATTCCTGCTCCTCTCCTGACTGGCTAAGTGACCTTTGGCATTTTAACCTCTCAGTTTCTTCATCTATAAAGTGAGAATATTAATAATAATTCCTACCTTATAACATTTCAAATGAGATATTTGCAAAATACTTACCTTAGTGCCTGGCACATACTAAGACTTAGTAAACGTAGCTATTATCACTATTATTATAAAATAGCAGAATTGTAGAAGAAACTTTAGAAGCAAACTACTAATACTTTAATCCAATCTACTAATATTACACATGACACAAACGTGGCTGAAAGAGGTTATGTCAATTTAATTTGGAAAGCATTTAGTAAGCTCCTATTATGTGCAAGCAACTTTCCCAAACTAATTAATTACAAATTTGAGTGGCATTATGCGAAAGAGTAAAAAATAATCCTCATTAAAAGAGGTGAGAGGGAATTCCCTGGCGGTCCAGTGGTTAGGACTCTGCACTTCCACTGCAGGGGGCACATGTTCAATCTCTGGTCAGGGAACTAAGATCCCGCATGCCTCATGGCCAAAAGAAAAGTGAGAGACTCGCAGACCACTAATAGGAGGCAGAAAAAGGTAAGGCTTTGGACATCCAGGACTTTACAGGTATAGCTGTGACTGGCCTCGATGCTGCTTAACATCTCTAAGGCTTAATGAAACAGGATGGAGCACAAAAGAAAGTTTATAAATTAAACTAAAAGCCAATAGCAAGGGACTTTCCTGGTGGTCCAGTGGTTAAGACTCTGTGCTCCCAATGCAGGGGGCCTGGGTTCCATCACTGGTCATGAAACTAGATCCCGCATGCTGCAACTGAAGATGCGGCGTGCTGCAACTAAAACCCGGTGCAGCCAAATAAATAAATATTAAAAATAAAATACAATAAAAGCCAATAGCAAAATTTGGATCGGGACTTCCCTGGTAGCGCAGTGGATAGGACTCCATGCTCCCAAGGCAGGGGGCCCGGGTTCGATCCCTGGTCAGGGAACTAGATCCCACATGCATGCCGCAACTAAGAGTTTGCATGCTACAACTAAGACCCAGTGCAACCAAATAAATAAATATTAAAAAAAAAATGAGGGCTCATGTCCTTTAAAAAAAAAAAAAAATTTGGATAAATGTTGAATCCCAAGTTAGTCCATTATACTTTTCTCTCAACTTCTGTATATTTTGGAAATTTTTCATAAAAGAAAAAATGTTAAGGCAATAAAATATTAAGAGATACTAAAATTAAAAATTAACACCTCTCACATTATATATAAAATTAACTCAAATAGATCAATGACCTAAATGTAAGGACTAAAAATATAAAATCCTTGGAAGAAAACTCAGATGTGAACCTTTGTGACCTTGGATTATGCAATAATTTCTTAGCTATGTCACCAAAACACAAACAAGAGAAAAAAAGATAAACTGAACATCATCAAAATTAAAAACTGTGGTGCTTCAAGGGACAACCCACAGAATGGGAGAAAATTTTTGCAAATAATATATCTGATAAGGAACTTGTATCTGTAATATAAAGAACTCTTACAGCTCAATAATAAAAAGACAACTCCATTAAAAAATGGGCAAAGGATCTAAACAGTCATTTAACCAAAGGTGATATACAACAGCCAATAGGCACATAAAAAGACACTCAACACCATTAATCAGGGAAATGCAAGTCAAAACCGCAGTAAGATACCACTTCACACACACTAGGAAGGCTAGAATCGAAAGGGCGGATCACAAGGGTTGGAGAGGATGTAGAAACACCAGAACGCTCATACACTGAGGATGGAATGTAAAATGGTTCAGCCACTTTGGAAAACCAGTCTGACAGTTCCTCAAAAGGTTAAACATGAAGTTACCACACAACTTAGCAATATATGTCTACACAAAAACTTGTACACAAATGTTCATAACAGCATTGTTCATAATAACCAAAAAAGTGGAAAAACTCAATAACCAACAACTGATGAACGGATAAATAAAATGTGGTGTAGCTATACAATGGGACATAATTCAGCAATAAAAAGAAATGAAGTACAGAAACATGCTACAACATAAATGAACCTTAAACATATGCTAAGTGAAAGAAGCCAGTCACATAGGGTAACATATTGTATGATTCCATTTATATAAAATGCCTGAAATAAGTAACTGTATAGAGACAGAAAGTAGATTAGTGGTTGTCTAGGGCTGGCAGGGATGGGGGGGATTGGCATGAGATGGCTAAAGGGTGCAGCGTTTCTTTTTGGGGTGATGAAATAATACCCATACCATATAAGCCCTCTGACGGGGTAGGAATTGTATTTTTGTGTCCCTGGTATGTAGCACATAGGACAGTGCCCAATAAAGATCTATTAATAAATTAAACCTTCTGAAAACGTCAATATTTAGTCTCCCAGACCCTAAGTGCTTCTTGGCAAGTACCACAAGGACCTCGGTCTCTTAGTAGTTGCTCTTTAGTAGCTGAAATACTTCAAACACCCAGAGTACAGAGTCCTGTCCTTTCCAAGTGCAGGGCTTACTATGTGCAGGCTTTTTAAAAGACTGTGTTCAATATACCTTTAACTTAGAAAATCAGTCCTGTACTTGTACACACATATCTTTTACCTACTTTTACACATTGATTCTAATTCTTCAATGGCTTGTTCAGCCTCCTGAATTTCTTTGTAAATGACTGCAAGCGGAGCCAGCTCAGCATGCCGTTGATTCAAGGACCTCCGGTCCCCTTCACTCACAGAGATATGCTGCAAACAATGATCAAGTGTTTGGTACTCCTTACTCAGGTCCTCCATGTATTTCTGTAGTCCTTTATGCTTCCAGAGCATCCTGGTATCTTGATGACAATATCTCCTGGACCAATTCTCACTTAACAGACAATGGAGAATGTGATTCCTGTTTTGTCTAAAAACCCACAGCCTTGTGTCAAGAGGTATCTGTGTAAGCTGATGAGAATGGAGATGGACATGGCACTGGTGGTGACCATTAAGACACAGATGTCTAAAAAGCCAAACAAACAGGTGACGATTCATTTCAGCATCTGAAACAAAATAAACACAATCTGAGAAATATCAACTCCACAGATATAAAAGCTGAAGGAGCCTCAAGAAATCTTGCTCAGTTCACTGCCTCAGCCAGCTCCAAACACAGCCCCTAAATTCAATAACACACAAAAAGAAAACGAATCTTCAAATCTGTGAATATAACAAAATAAATGAAGGTAGTGCTGTTTTCTACCCATTCAACATATATAATTAACTAAGGCAAATGAGTAGGAGTGTAACTAATAAATATATCAATAGAATGGGTTAAATCAGCTATTTTCTAGAAAGTACCCAGAATCTAAAATTGAGTGTGTGAATAAGCTCTTGACAAGTATGAAATAATCATGCAAACTTTAGGTGGTTTGTATATTAATAGATTTTTAAAGTTTTAAGGAAACACTACTTCCTTGTCTAATTCTTAGGTATCCAGATGCCCAAGGAAGTCAAGTAACTTAATCATGATTATTCATTCTGCCAGATAGAGGCAGAGCTGAGGTGAATGCAGCTTGCCTGTTCAGACTTCAGTGCTTTTCATTCCCAACTATGCAATCACTCTTCGAAGGTGCTTCCCTTTTAGCTGAGATCCTAAAGGACGGAAAATTTATATATTAACAGACTAAGAAAGTAGAAAGTTTGATAAAAAAAAAAAGACAATGATGATAATTATATTAAATGAAAAAAGCAGAATCAAAACAATATAATCTCAATTAGGTTTTCAAATTTGTCTACAGTATATGGAATACATGGGTTTATGGGGACATAACTGCATCATAAGTTGAGGAAGAGCTTTATTTTGAAAAAAGAAAACTAAAAACATACCAAAACGTTAGTAAGATGATCTCTAGTTGTGGGATTATGGATTCCTTTTGCTTCCTTTTTTTTTCTACTTCTTCGTGTTTTCCAAGTTTCCTATACATTTAGCACATGCTACTTTTACAATCAGGAAGAAAAATTACTTTAAAAAATTCCATGTTAGGTGAAATTAGTTATGTACAATAATTATCTGTTCTTCCTTCTAACAGAGATAATCAAAAGAGCTAACAAATGTACACAATGGTTTTACTGAGTAAGAAAGAGAAGATAAAGTGTTCTAAGAAAAATACTTTGCCCCTAAAATCCTGAGGTTCAAAGTTGAAATAAGGGTCAAAATTGATCAGAATCAACCTTTATTGCCTCCAGTGTTCCTACTACATTAGGTGTATTCATATATTAGCTCATTTGATCATTGTAAGTCTGCTAACTTGGATATTGTCATCTCCTAGGAAATAAAATATTCAGAATAGTCTCTAAAATATTCACAGTTTGCAGGGTTGTACTAAGGAAATTTAACATACTGAATCACATTGAGAAAAGGACTGCGGGAAGCATGCACAAAGGCACAGTAGCCACAAATGTTACAGTCCTCCAGCAGGAGTTTCTGCCTGTCTTCACATTGAGACAAGCTGGGACCTGGGACCGTTTGCTGCAGTGCTGCAATGCTTGCACCTGGACAAATGTTTCCTTAAGCAACAAAATACAAAGAAACGAATAGGGGCTAAAAATAACTGTGTGCATGCACAGTTGGGGCAAATTCTGGACAACTAGATAAAAGGAGACCAAAAAGCCCAACTGGCACCTCTGAAGAGCTGGCAGCAAAAGCAGGGAGTGGGGAGCAAAAGCAGGATACTGCGCATGCCCCCTGCACACAACGTAGCCTAGGGGATGGGCAGACCACTTAAGCCACCCCTCTGCTGGATCCCTGGACACACCCCTACCCTCACCCCATGTAAGGAACCTGCTCACTCCCCTCTGCTGCAGCAGGGGCCACGATATAGCCTTGCCTGAATTTCTTGTCTGGCCTCTGATCAATATCTATTGATTAAGGATGCCAGGAACCCTGGTCTAAAACAACATCTAGTCACAGAAAGTGTGTCCATTTGAAAAAGGACGTAACAAAAAAAATGGCAAAAAGATTTTTGTTAAAACACCTCTAGCTAAATTTCCATTTTAGAAATAGTACAAAAAGCAACTCTCAAGGTCATGAACCTCAATGTTAAGTAAATCCCAAGACGTTTACCTTCTAGGTTAATCTATACCTGAGAATAGCAAGCCTTCTCCATCACTCCCTGACAGTAACAGGATTAAAATGATACTCTAGGGGCTTTCCTGGTGACTCTTTTCCAGTCGTTTAAGAGTCTGCCTGCCAAGGCAGGGAACATGGGTTCAAGCCCTGGTCCGGGAAGATCCCACATGCCGCGGAGCAACTAAGCCCGTGCGCCACAACTGCTGAGCCTGCGCTCTAGGGCCCGTGAGCCACAACTACTGAGCCCTCATGCCACAACTACTGAAGCCTGCGCGCCTGGAGCCCGTGATCGGCAACGAGAGAAGCCACCGCAATGAGAAGCCCGCGCACCGCAACGAAGAGTAGCCCCCGCTCGCTGCAACTAGAGAAAGCCCGCGCGAAGCAACGAAGACCCAACGCAGACAAAAATAAATAAATAAAATAAATGAAAATTAAAAATAAAATGATACTCTAGGGACAACTCTCAGCCTTGGCAAGTCAGAAGTGACACTAAGCCGGCACGAGAGGATCACGTGTAAGCCACACTAACTCGGTATACGGAGTGATCCCACAGGGAGACACCATGGGAAAAAAAAAAAAAAGCTGGAGAAGGAAAATAGACTTTTAAGACCTAAAAAGAGAAGTGAACTGTGAGCACGTAAAAAAAAAAAAAAAAAAAAAAAGACAGACAGAAAGGACGTTAGGTTTCCTTACGGAGGTCTGAACCTTCTGTGGTCCACTACGTTTCAGCCCGACAGGCACCGGATCACTTTCACTGCCGGGTTCACCCCTTCCGGCTTAGAGCTTGATCCCGCCTCTTCCGTCTCGACTCTTCTCCAGAAGAGTAGTCCTTGCGTGTGCCTAACAATAAGCTAACAGAGGAAACAAAAGAGAAAAATGGAAAAGCGAGAAAAATTTCCACGAGAGAGATGACCAGGAGACTTACTCATCCGGATTCTGAGCCCAGGGTGTAGGTTGCGATGGAAGGGGGAGGGGAGGTGCAGGGGCATTGGTGCCGCAGTGAACCACAGCTCCCCACCCGGGAATCTTGGGAGTTGTAGTTTATCTCGGACGAACGCCCAGCCTCCAACCCCCTAGGCCAAAGGTGGAGCTTTGGTTTTCACAGTTTCAGGCAAGCCCAAAAGGGAGATTCCCTACAGTTCTGATTAAGAGATCAAGATATACAAGAATTTTCTTGTATATAGAGCCACTAGAGCAGAGATTCCTGATTTTTTTAAATGAGGATCCCTTTTCATCATTCAAAAATTTGCAGGATTCTGCATTTTAATACTTGTACTTTCAGCTTCCATTGCCTGAGAAGATACCTAATGACTAATTGAGACTATAAAGTTGTATTTTTTTAAATCATAAGGAGGATCCAAAATATGAGAGACTATATATAGCCACAACTTAGTGAATTTATAGCTGTTGTATACATAAACACAATTTGGGGGCTCAATTTAAGTTTGTAGCTTGTAAACCATCAATTAAGTAAAGCATTAAAAATCCTAAATAATAAACAATTCCAGGAAAATGCAAATATATTGCCTTACTTTGAATATCCAAGTAGGATACACATTTACATTGGTGATCACATTTACAAGTCATTTGACCTCTGTGCCCTAGTATTTCTTCCTGAAAAGCAGAGGCAACAAGAATTCCACATTACCAACTTCACAAGACATTTTCTTAGTTTATGACCACATATATAAAAAGGAGAATTAGGCATAAATATAAATATCTAACATGTATTGCCTATTTCAAGGTATCTACTTCTACCAACTACATATTAGATACTACTCTAAATGGCTTAAGCCTATTTATTAATTAATTTAATCTTTACAACAACCCTAAAATACCCATTTTGCAGAAGAGAAAACTAAGGCACAGAGAGTTTAAGTAACTTGTCCAAGGTAAAAGAACTAGTAAGTGATAGAGCTGAGATTCAATGAAGACAATCTGTCTTAATGATCTATGGCTCCTAAGCTCTGATACTGCCTCCCTCCTCCAGAAAAAAGAAAAGAAAACATTCAGTCTTTCATGCAGTAAACACTGAGCACCAGTTATGTGTTAATCACTATTCTAGACATGAGACTTCAGCAATGAACAGAAAAGACAAAAATCTTTGCTCTCACGAATACCAAAGTACCCACATAAATCATTCTCCTAAATTATCCAACAAAATCTTTTAATTCTTTATTTTGATGTATATATAAAACTTCCTTCTTAAAAAATAAGCTTTAGTGCCATGGACTAATCCCTCCCAAATTCAGTATGTTGAAGTTAACCCCCAGTATGACCCCACTGGAAATAGGGCCTTTAAGGTGATTAAGGTTAAATAAGGTCATATAGAGGGAACCCTAATCTGATAGGACTAGTGCCCTTACAGGAAGAGACCAGAGAGCTTGTGTAGTCTCTTTCTGCCCCCCTCTTTCCCTCAACAAGCGAAAAGAGGTCAGGGGGTGAGCACACAGCAAGATAGCAGCCACCTACAAGCCAAGAGAAGAGGCCTCAGAATGAAACCTACCTTGCCAGCACCTTGATCTTTCCAACCTCCAAAACTGTGAGAAATAAATTTCTGTTGTTTAAGCCACTCAGTATGGTACTTTGTTATGGCAGCCCGAGCAAAGACATTTACATATGTAAACATTTATTGAGATATACATGAAACGTTATACACTTTATGAATGTTATTTCTAAATTTAAAGAAAATCCCTAAAGACTATAAATATTGCTTCCTCCTCCATGTGTTTTTAAAGAAAGTAATGTGGTTATAATTATATTTATTAATATGCAAAGATGTCCACAATATATTATTAAGTGAAAGAGAATGTTTAAAAAATTCATCAAACTATTTCACTTAAAAAACGTATGTGGGACTTCCCTGGTGGTGCAGTGGTTAAGAATCCACCTGCCAATGCAGCGGACACGGGTCAGAGCCCTGGTCCGGGAAGACTGCACAGAGCAGCTAAGCTCACAAGCCACATCTACTGAGCCCTCGAGCCACAACTACTGAAGCCCGCGTGCCTAGAGCCCGTGCTCCGCAACAAGAGAAGCCACTGCAATGAGAAGCCCACGCACAGCAAGGAAGAGTAGCCCCTGCACACTACAACTAGAGAAAGCCCGCGTGCAACGACGAAGACCCAGTGCAGCCAAAAATAAATAATTAATTAATTGATTTTTTAAAAAAGTATATGATGCATATTTAAAAGTCTGGAAGAGGGAATTCCCTGGTGGTCCAGTGGTTAGGACTTGGTGCTTTCACTGCTGTGGCCTGGGTTCAATCCCTGGTTGGGGAACTAAGATCCTACAAGCCGTGCAGTGCAGCCAAAAAAAAAGAAAAATCTGGTGGAATTATAGGTAATCTCTATTTTCCTTTTCATAGTACTATGAATTTCTTGAAATTTTGTGATGGGTATTGTAAACAAGAAAGCTATAAAAGAAAAAAGACATTCTTTCATGTTTGATTGAAAAGCCTTATGGAAGTTATTATTCTCAAATTGTTCTATGAAGTTAAACAACTTCTATTTGCAAGAAGTCTGATATATTACAGAATAAAAGTTTCCAGAAATAGTAATAAAAGAGGTTGATTCAGTGGGGGAAAAAGAATTAGCATTTTGATTAAATTAGAAACAAGCACTACCATGTCTGAAATATTTCTCACGATAAAGTCAACTATGAATACTTTCTTTGTTGAATGAATTTGTAATGGACACTGACGATTTGGTATCTCTTTGTCAGAAACTAAATGACCTGTGTCCCCCTCCTCCAACTTGGAGCATGCTAACACAACAAAATACGTGGGGTCATTTTTCATCTCCATTTAGAGCAAATCAGTCCCAAACCCAAAGGGGTAGGGAATGGGGATTTTCACTTAACTTCCTCTCAGAGACCTCCGGATTCTTTTAAAGATTCTGAGGACACTCGCGTCTAGAGTACTAACAAGAGGTTGATTTGTGTCCTTCAGCAGAGATTTCACATCAGTAAACTGTCTGCTTAGGGCTTACCCAGAGAGAAGCAGAGCACCAGACTTTCCTCAGCCCTGGACATTCTTTGGGGAGCTAGACAAGGGTGAGTGTAGAGATTGTTCCAGGCTAAGTTGAAACTTTGGTCCTATCTGGGAAATTTTCAGTGGCACTGAAAGCAACATAAAATCTCAGCACACAAGCCATAACACATTGTTTTTTAGCACACTGTGAAGATACACCTGGCTTTCTGATTCCCGGTAGTTTAGCTCTTGACCGATGCCATCTTGAGACTGGCAATGGCTTGGGATTTGAATCAGATATATTTTACTATAGAAAAAGTGAAAGCAGGTAGCAATTTAATACAAAATTCAAGCTCTCAATATGGTGGAAAAGTAGAAAAACAAAGTTTATTTTATTTGTATCCTTATAAATTATTTTCCCCGAGAGAAGCGAAATATAAAGAATGAAAAAAGAGCATTTCTTATTTTCACATGTTCATACTGCTTCTCAAATTTTTCGGAGCTTGAAAAAAATAAAGCTAACAAACACGCCACCTGCTGGCATTATTGAAACTAGATCGCAAGTTATTTTCAGAGTCAAGAGGTGTTCAAGGAGTCTTGAAATGTCAACTTACGATGTATTTCTTTTACTCTAATAATAATAATAAAAGGGTAGATCCTGGAAACTCATCTTTTACCCCATAAACTGGTATTAGCCTAGGCTGAGGTCAGCTTTGTTAACAAGCTCATTTAGTGTTGTCTCCCACAACTTCTTGGTAATTTCACCTCTTCCATTTTTCATCCTAAATTTCAGGCTAAATATTTTTCTTAAATTATTTCCTTCAGTTTTGAATTATACATTTTCAAATTTTCATTTCAATGAGTTTAGTTTTCCCATCTTTTTCTACTAACAGTAGTCTTCAAATACCCTTTATAAGCATTAAAGCACTTTCCAACTTAGATACAAATCTTCCCTTGAGGAATACAATGTAATCTATACTCTCTGTGTGTGTAGATATATATCTTTTAATTTTTTCCATTTTTATTATGAAAAATTTCAAACATGTTCAAAATTAGAACAGTAAAATGACCCCTGTTCACTCATCATGAATTCTCAACATTATCAACTTAGTGTTCACCCTCCCACCTCCCTCTCTCTTCTCATCCTCAGTGGATTAATTTGAAGCAAATACAAG